TTTCTTGACACTAGGTGCACTTGTCAGAGTTGGGAAGATTTAATTTGCTACGATGGAACAGAATTTAAATTTGTTTTTACTCTTGCAGTTAACAGCCATCACAGGGTACGCCATACTGCAAGACAGAACCAACATGACGAGATGATTTTGGGCTGATAGGAATTAAACTGCTTTCCAGGAAGAAAGCTCTGGGAAAACCCTGTTTGTTTTAGAGTGACGGACAAGAGAGCCCCGGGGTGACACTGAAGAAAGTGTATTAGTCGTATTTCCCAAAGGCTCCTGAATCATAGCTTAGGAATGCACTAATATCATTGCCCTAATTTTATGTTGGCCAATACTGCTGACAGTAGCGTTTATGTCTGAGGCTGGTATTTGGTTCAAGTCATCAATTTTGCACAGGCAAGAGAGGCAAAATGTATTCAAGTGTAAAAACAACCAGTGCATCTCCAGCATTACGTGAAGTGAAAATGAACTGTACAGCCACATTTCTTTCCTCGTTGGGCCCCTTGTACTACACAGAGCCCAGCCCTGTTCCCTAAGGCATGATTTGAGCTTATACAGGCAACTTCAAACTTCCAGAGTTTTCTGTGTTATGTCACCATGGTAACTTGTGCTGTAGAGCAGGTTAAGTCTGTAGCAAATTCTCTGGAAAGTCATCACCATTCCTGGAAGACAGCTTAGACCTGTGATAAGAATCTGCATTTGTCACAGGTTCTTAGGATTAAAATTTATTCCTCAGTTACCGGTTTCCCTTTGGCCAATAAAAACTATTTCATTGTTCTATAAACAGCGATCTAAGAAAAGGACACCTAATTTTAATCTAATTCACTTCTTACTTCCATTCATCTTTTCAGACTGTTCAACACCAGAGCTGCCACAGAGACTAAAAAGCCATCTCGTGCACATCTAAACATTAATTTAATTAAAAAAAACAAACAAACAGTTGCAGTCTGTTAAATTCTGCTATGCCTTAAAGACAGCTGTGATACGGTTTGTCTTAACTGGCATTTATTATTCTCACCTTTCCTTCCTGGCTGTAATAAAGCAGTCATTTCAGTCTTGTCCGATTTAGACTACTGCAGGAAATCCACATTGTTACTTATGATTTGACCACAAACCCCTTTTAAGCCATTTACATCATAGCCTTTTACGTAACCTGATGTACACCTCCCGAGAAATGCAACTACACCTCAGGCTGACCTAACCTGCAATGACCAAATTATGTTGGAGGCTACGGTGTATGGTTGAAAGGCGTTTCCGGTTATGTCGCAAGTTATGACAGATTTCCTGCAGTAGACCAAATCCGGGATTACTGACCAGAAGTGCTTAACACATTCAGGGTTTAATGCGCTATTGTGCCATGCTTCTCTCACACCTGTATTGTGCGCTTAATCTCCCCCCCACTTCAGTTTTATCTTTCCCTGCAAAATCAGTTGCTCTGCAGCCAGCAGACTTATCTAAAATAAATAAAGGAAGCTAGGAGAATGACTCATTTAGGTGAACTAAACCTTACAAAGCTGCTTTGTTAGAGTGCAGCAATGTTCTGATTTTTTAAAATCACCATAAACTTGAGTTCCCATAGTAATGCATGTTTATTATTAACCACTGCAGTGGTTCTTTGAATCAAACCAGGTGCTTGAAATAGGGTTCTTTGCCCCTGACCAAAAGTTGATACCTGAATGTTTCAAAGTCACAGCTGGTGGGTTTGGGAGTGGTGCCAGCTCTTCAAAGTCATCCTCACACATATCAGGTACTTGTGAGAAACAGGCGAGTCCAGGTAAAGCAAGTTTACTTAGAGGAATCAAGTCTTCAGGTACGTCATACCTCAAGTACTCTGGAAATGCAAATCGAAAACAAGGAAAGGCTGTTGAGGAGATCCATGGAATTGAAAATTGTTACCTTTTGTTAAGGTTACAAGCTAATACTTATATCACAAAATGGGACAAGTGGTTTCCAAATAAAGAACTTTGTGTTGACAAGATTGATTGTTTGATTTGTAAATTATTAACTAACAATCAATCTTGTCAACACAAAGTTCTTTATTTGGAACAGTTCTACAAGAAAGACAAGTTACTGAGAAAGTGGTTGTGCTTAAAGTGCTGCACTGAGCTGAAATTTAAAACGTCAAGATATTTTAAATAAAATGAAATTTTACATTAAGTGCCTCAAAGGCTTCAAACTGAACAGCTTGATATATTATGGACTATCTTCCATTGCAGTCACATGCCCCTCAGATGGTCAACTCCAAATGCAGTATTGCCAGCCATGGTCTTTCCACACTCACGACAGTAAATGCACTGGATCATGTTGCCAGCTTTGAAATGTATACACTTTCCCCATTTTACTATCAGCGGGCTCTGGCTCAGTTGATCGTATGTGTCTAATTATCTGATGCCATCTCTGGACTAGTGTTAGACAGGAAAGTTATCAATCGTTCTTTTCATTTTTTCCTCATTGCCCACAGCTACATCCACTTCTACTGGGCCTAAGCTACTCAACTTTTTTTTTCTTTTTTTTTAAAAAGTTGGACCATTGAGAAATTAGGACGCATGTGCGACCAAATTGGTTGCACTCTAGAGCCTTGTATATGTCTCACCCACATTTGTAGACATGTGGTCAATTCATGAATACAATGCTGTGTTTTCACTACTAGAATTGCCTCAGTCGACTGCTTCCTTCTTTGGTCTTGAAAAAAAGAAAAAAAAAAAAAGTGTAAAACCTTCATTAAAAATAATTTTAAAAAACATTTTAAAAGCCACATCATGGCCTTATTCAAGTACACCCGAATCATATTTTGATTTCACAAGTTTGAGGCAAACCTTCCGATTACTTGACCAAATCAAATTAGCTTCAAATGAAAGCATAAACTTGTGCTACAGTGCAGCAGCATTTTAAAATTGACGGGTCAAATATGCAACAACTTTCCAAATTCTGCCTTACTGTTTTTGCTCTTTTAAAATAACCACCAAGCAGAACTTGACAATTACAACTTATAGCATCAGTTACCTAGTGGGTCATAAGAGAACAACTTCTCAGTTTCTGGATACTCCACATTGGCTTGAGGTGCATTTTTGGCTTTTGTTTCCTCAAGGCAAACTGGTGGCTGTGGCAGAGAAAAATCAAATAAGTCAGAATACAGCCAAGCATTTAGTGTATACTTGAATAATTATATAGTCCAACCTGTTTTAGGAGTTTCTTCTCTTGTTTGCTGATGGCAGGGGTCGAGACTTTTACGTTAAGGCAGCCAAAAGCCTTACGTCCAGATGGCAAGGGGGTGCTGAATGGTTTTGTAGGAGATTTGACTAGTTTCTCTGAATGCAGGGACAAAAAAGTTAATGTGGCACCTATGCAAACGTTATCAGCGTTTCAAGAGTAGAAAAAAAAAGAAAGTCAACCAAAGACATAATTTTCATACCTGGAGCAGACTGAAGCCGCTGCCTCATTTTCTGTGTAGGTGCATGGAGACCTGCATTTTCCCGCTCTGCAAAGATTATATTGGCCATCTGAAAACAAGAAGACACTGGCTACTGCAGCTTTATGTAGGGAGAATTTCTATAGCAGTGTTTAATACATTACAGCAAAGAGTGCCTCTTAACAGGCTAGCCCTTTTCTTGCTTTTGTCATGTACTACTAAACTGAATACAATCAGCATTTGTATGTGTGTGAATGAGACTTTCCCCAAGTAAAGAGTTGGGTGAGCATCAACTCCTAATAGCCAACTGCTTTAAGTTCAGTACCCTTTTATGAATACAGTGCTGGAACTAATGGCAAGTTTGGCAGCATTACAGGCTACAGCATTGTTGCAGCAAACATAATATGCTTCTACTCATCATACCTTAAAGACCTCTTAGCACCATATTTCAACAATGCACTTCGCTCCCAGAGTGCAGGCTTAATTTCAGTTCCTAGAGTTTCCAGAAGTAGAATGGGAGGCAGTGCCTTCAGCATGCTCGTACTGAACCAGCTTCTACTTTGGGGTCCGGAAACTGACAACAGCTCTGTTAAAAGTTAGGTGTAAATCCTTTTTCTAAAGCTTCTAGTTAGAGTTGAGGTGACCCTGAGGTTCTGCAACATACATCAGATTCATTCATCTCCCTCTAAACTTCCAACAAGTTGCAGCAGATGGTTTCTAATGCAATTATAATTCAAACCAAAACAAATAAGAGTCTGCAAAATAGAATGAATTTGGAAAGTAAAGCACTGAAAGGAAAGACCAAAACAAATTGGTAAAACTAGTCAATTTATTTTAGCTCAGTGTAATGAAAACCGTGAGGCCTGCTGTGATGTACAGTTTGGAGATGTTAGCAAAGGAGGTGTCAGGGTTATTTTCCCCCCACTGGAAGTGATCTGGATGGACAGGACCAAATGAGTATATCAGAGGGACAGCTCAGATGGAACAATAGAGTCAAAGTTATAAGGCTGAGACGGTTTGGATACTTGCAGAGGGTTGGTTTGACAGGGGAGCATGACAGGGATACTGAGATTGTTGTGGTGGTCTTTAAAAGGGAGCAGCACAAAGAGAAAACACTTTGGGACAATTTGTTATTTACATTAAATTTCAAGTAACTGCACAGCTCGGGCGGACCCTTTTAACCATATGATTGAAAAACAAACTCAAATCATTTTTCCAATCAAAATAAAGAGTGCTGCCTCCTAGCGGCTTTTCTTTTTTAAAGGAAAAAAAGGAATTTGTTTGATAAAGTAGAAATAATATAGCATCGATTAACATTAGATGTAGTGTTCACGGGTAAACTCATTAAGGAAATGAGTGAATCCTTGTCTCCAGTTTATGTAAATACATACGAGTACAAACTGATGTTATTGGATGCCAAACAGCAACACGTAGTAGTAAGTTTAGTAAAGTTAAGCAAAACACTTCCACCATAACGAATAAAACTTCTGGTGAACAGAAAAGGTTGATTTTGAGGTGGTCTTAAAACAAAAGGGAGATACAGAATCAAAATGTTGCTTTAGTGAGCTAACTAGCTAGCACGCTAGCTCACGTCATTGACAAAGCGTCTTCGCCATTTAATAAACTTACCGTCGCTGCTAATGAAGTCAACATTTGCTTTAACAGACCGTTAACACCAACATTACCTCAGTCCTCTGTGATAGTCGCCGCTAGCTGCTCCCAGATCACAAACTTGTTTTGGTACGAAAACTTGTACAGCTGGTACCGCGAATCGTTTTTAAATTCACGGTCCACCTCCCATTGGTCGATGTAGCACACATGACTTGAAATGGGCGTTACGCTAAAAAAATAAATATCTGCCAACAGAAATGCTTTAATATTGCTATCATATTTATATCATGCACGGCACATATTTATAATCATGTATTAATTAATGGTAAAACAACAATAACCCTAAATCAATTACGTATTTAGGAAATACAGCCCTGATATTTATTTGGAATTCGTGTTAGTTCTCACGTAAAACCCATAAACATTACTTCCCGTGCTTACATACATCTCCTAAGCGTGTTTGAGACAGTGCTTAATTTTTTGAAGTTATATAAACACTTTAAAAAGTTTCCTTGACTGGTGGTTGCCGCGTTGGTTTTACCGTTTGTTCTTAACTGACACGAATGTGTCGTTTACTGACCGCGGATCGCCGTCTCTACCACCAGACGGAACCATGGCGACATCCTGAGGGGGGTACAGTAAATAGTTTTATTTATATCTTTATTATTTTTACGAAGCAAAATTCTAAATAAATCATTTGGCGTATGCCTGTAGCTTATATTTGATAAGTAAGAAATACATAATATGGGTGCAGTTTTTAAAAATATCATATCTAAAAGCGCATTGGTTTGTGGTACATTCCTGCTAGGCCATCTTTCGGTGTAACGGTAACGGTACAGCTTCCTTTGCTAAACAGAGCAGCAGAGGTTTCGTCCTCCGGCTAACAGCAGCTACTATGGCGTCAACCGAGATAGCAAGGCAAGCGGTAAGTAGCCTGTTTCACACTGGAATTCATGTATTTATCTTATATATTTTTGTTATGGATCAAGCGTTTCGCAGAAGAGTGTATAATTTCAAGCAGATTTACCCAGCCACCATCCGTTTTTCGTGGCTATTCCATCCAAATCCAGTGTACCGTGGCTTAATTAGATCAATTATAATTAGAGCTAATAGAAATCTGATTATGCGTCCCTAAACACGGTATAAAAACAAAATTTAACCAGATATCAAATTAAGGCCCAGCACTCAACAGTCGAAGCTCTCCGGTAGAATATTTTCATTTTGGTATGCTAACGCCTGCAGATTTCCTGTACTGGTAAAAACCTAAATTACCCTGTAAACGGAATTAACAGATTAAGACATTTAAAATTTAAAGTAACCGACGTATCTATTATCTCACATAAAAACGAGAGGTTGTTACAGAGCCATAGGTAGGCCATTCATTCTGAACGCCCCCATTTCGGCACGGCTACGATGCTCATTTCCGTTATGTTGTTTTATGCAAGACCCGTCAACTTTGTTTTCCGGGCGTTGTCTTAATGAATATTACGGACAAATAGATCGTAGCTCCTTGTAGACATTTGGCCGTGCAATGCACAAATCGTGGTCTAAGTTTGCCTTTTTTGGGAGGGGGCTTGGAAAGAAGCCGCGTAACCCAGAGGGAGGGCTGAGAATAGCAAGGTTTTACAGTTTGATATCCATATCTAGTGAATGGAAACCCGCTCACTGTGTGTAACTTGGCTGTGAGTGTCATGAAAAGCGGGAATGGCCTCAGGAATGTTGCACTTGCAGCTGAAGAGGGCTGGTTGTCCAGTTTTCCAAACACTCCCTCAGCTGTTTAAACCCAATTTCAGCCATCCAAATAATCCACAACTGTTTAGTGCCCTCAGCTTGCTCAGTTATTTTAAATTGAGTCTAAAACAGCGTGTTTTTCCTCCCAGAAATCTTCACCACATTGGACTGCAACAGTGTGTTATGTTAAGCCACATAATAGCTGGTTGTCTGAGGTTGAGATGGTTGAGATATTCTTTCTTTTGCCATATAATCTACATTTTTTGTTTTCCTGCAAAACGTAGGCTGCAGAAAGGAGGTTCACACTGATGGAGATGCTTACCAGCAGCCACACACCCACACACATATGTAACAACAGTGTTTTTACACTTGTTGTGTTTAGTGGTCCAGATACAGGTTGTCTATAAACAGTGTGATAGAGTGAATGGAAGTGAAATAGGCTCATAAGAGGAAGTTTTAAAAAAAAAACCCCCAAAACTCAGTGCCAGTTATGCTAATGCTTTTATCCGTTTTTCTTTTATTTTTTAATTTTTAAACAGTAAGCTTTTTTTTTCTAATTTCTCTAAACGCTCTGTCTTGACACAAACAGCAGTACCTTTCCATATATGTACATTGTGGTTTCTAACTGTCTCGTCTGTGGAAGAAAGTCACAGCTCAGGAAGCAGGAAGTGAGTTAGCACTGCACCTGAACTCATTGTCAAAGACTAACGTGATCAAAAAATGGTCGAAGGCATGGTACGGTTTTATTTACACAGGACAGCTGTCGTTGCGATGCATATTTCAGCACGTTAGAAGGAATCCTGCACGTGCTTACAGACGTGGAAGGCGTTTAGTGATCGAAAGGCACTGACTTGTTGCTTTATGTCTTTTGTTTTTAGGGTGAAGGAGCTCGTGCTGTCCCTCTATCGGGCCATGTCGGCTTTGACAGCATGCCTGACCAGCTGGTCAACAAGTCTGTCAACCATGGATTTTGCTTCAACATCCTCTGTGTTGGTGAGTGTGTCATGTGAGATTTCCTCTCTATGTCTTCAGGCACAATGTCTTTGCTTCAGTTCAAGTGTTTCCACAAGACAAAAAGCTGCTCAGTGTTTGACTCTCAGTTTCCTTTTCGCTTGCTTTGGTTACTGTAATGAGTAAGATGCTCTCAGTTCAGGAAAGTCAAGTGTCTGCTGGTGGTTATTTAATTTGAATATGCATGACTGTTTAAAAAAAAAAATGCAACACTGAATGCAGGATACAAGCCTTCTCCAGGATGTAGAGGACAGTCAGAAATGATGCCCTACAAGTTTAATTTTAGACTGGAGAACCAAGTCACATCAGCCTTATTAAGTGCTGGAAGTATTCAATTATGTGCACTCAGTTGCCAATTTATTAGCATCCCACTAAAACTAATCTAATACAGCCATTCAGCAGCCCTAGCTGAATGGAGAAAATAATGTTCAATTTATTTAGATGGCATTTTGTTGCAATTGTGGAGGCTATAGTATTTTTGTAAAGGCCTGTCATGTCTGGCAGTACTTGCACTCAGAAACAGGATCTGAATGTGCCATTATGTCAAACGTTTTTGCATTTTCAGAACTCTGTATAGGCTCCTCTTGTTTGTCTTTTCCTTTTTATTTATATATTTATTTAATCGTTTCTATTATTGTTCAGGTTAGGCATGTGTAATATGTCAGTGCCAGAGTTGACAGGCAGGAAGAAAAACAGTAAGTAATAAAATGGGAGAAAGGTGGAGGTTATAGTTTATGATACTGTATTTATAGAAATCAGAAGTATTCGTATTATGTTTTTGTTTGAAAATACAAACATCTTTTCATTAGGGTTTCCGTTCTGGAACATGTTAAATGTCCAGAAAGCAATAAAATATGTGCAGAGCAGCACAGGAAGTAACATGAAAGATGAGTCTTAGCAGACTACAACATTCAAAAATACTCATCAGTCATCAGCTTGGCAGTGAGTTAGCAAAAACAAAAAAGGTAAACTGCAGTGGATGTAATAGCATTAAAACAATGGGCTCTTCTTTTGTGGGGGAACTTGCTTTGTGACTAACTTCAGCATTCTTGCTTGAATATTTAACTAAACATCTCTGATGGCAGAGCTATAACATTTAAAACCATAGAAAGCTGTGGGAACTCTGATAGTTCCCCTTAACCTTGAATACAATGTGTTTTTGTGATATGCTGCAAATTAGATTACGTTACATTACTACCCTGTGTTTATATATTTTAAACTAGACCTGTTATGCATTTGTCTCATATTTTCTACAGGTGCATGTTCATATTAAACCAGGCAAAGGTTTCAGATCATGAGATCACTGTATATACAAGTAATCCATGTCCATAAACTCTCGGCTCTTTACGATGTCACTTAAAGGGGATATCTGTAATGTGGTTATCTCAGGCACACAGCTCTGGCCCATCTGCTGTTCAAACCTGCTGTTTTTTTCTTGCAAGGGGCAAACAATCAGAAGGGGGTGGCTTAAAGGGAACATGGGAGGAGCTAAAAAGATTTAATTCAGACAAAGAATAAACTGAGGGATTACTTTAAACTGTTAACATGCAAAGATACTCTAGTAAAGTGCAAGAATGAACATATGGGCCTGGAAATGAGCAGAATATGTCCACTTAAGACTTTTTGATGATGAAATGATTGGTGGGCACGAGCGACAGGCTTTTGAGTTTCCTCCGAACTAAACACATCCTCTAGATTCTATTTATACTCGGGAGTGGAGTGAAATGTGTGTTTTTTCTCATAATGTTACTTTTTGATGCTTTTTGACTGCCAGTTTTTCCAAATAATCTATAAAAACATTAGTGCAATCCAATCAAAATATGGATGCAAAGACGATGCTGCAGAAAAACCAGTTTTGTTCCAAACTGTAAGCGCTGCTGTATGACTCAAGCAAAAATGTGACGATGTGTGCCTCAAAGATGACTGGTATGTCTGCAGAATGTTTCTGTTGTGTTATTTTTGACCTTTGCTTCACACATTGACCCATCCTGTCCTTTCTATGTGTTCTTCACTTTCTTCAAACAAGATGCAAAATTTTAACTGTTGCGAACTGAGCTTTGCTCAGAAAGATGTGTCTGTGTGCTTGTGCTATCAGAGAAAAATAGGGATGTTGTAAGATGTCCCACAAAAATGGGCTAACATGGTTGGACTGTAGGTCAGGCTATAATGAATAAAAATAGATTTTCTTACAGATGGCGCTCAGTGTCTGAGTCATCTAACAGTAAATGGATGTCAGTACATTACATAGCAGCTACTGCTGCTGTTTTTGTGGCTTTAAGCATTTGAGAGTAATACACTCTGTTTTAAGCATATTCAATACGCTGTTTTTAATGTACTCTAACATTATCAGGCACCATTTTTTTTCTTTTTGCTTGAGTTACACAACTGTAGTGTCAGAGAGAGTGGCTTGAGCTGAAATATATCAAAAGCTGATCAAAGAAAAGGGCCTGTCATTAAATTCCTTTTGGTTTGGGAGTTA